TTACCCCCGGTCTCTATTTTCTCTCACAAGATTCAATTAGAGCGCAAGATAATTACGTGGCGTTGTATTTGATAAGAATTGACGGTAAAACCCGTCATTGTTTTCCATTAGAAACGCCGAAGAAAGGAGTTTTACGGTAGAAAGTACACCAGAAACGATTCTTGTTTTTCTACAGTGAAAACAAAGAAACGACGCGAAAGATTAGAGATACATACGCGGAAAATAATTTGAACTAGGATAATTGTATGCAAATGATACGAAGCCGCAAGCCGTAAGACAGCCAACACGAAATTGAAACCGTGCGAAAGGCGTGTGCGGGTGCTGTTCGTGTTTGGCCAAGGACCGGAAATTGCGAAGCCACTGTTTTCCTAATTTCGGACACGAATGAAAGCGCCAGCCGACGACTAATAAATACAAACGATTCTCTTCTCTTCATAAATAATCTAAGCCGGCTGCAAACACGTGGACAATCCGATTTAATGAAGTTGACGAACATCCTTTCGAATGCGACAATTTCTCTGAAACTCACTGGTCCATTTTGTTTCGCGTTCAATTAATAACGTGCAATATTTCCGGTTAATCTCACGACACTGTATTCATTTCAAAATATTAGCAACATAATAATTCGAGCTTACTGAAAGTATTACGGCAATTATAAAGACGAAACTTGGAAATAGTACTGACATAACCAAATAAATAATATTTGCTGTTAAACAGCAACAAATTAAAAATATTCGACGAAACAATTGTTCGTTTAATATAAATTGATCAATCCATTAATATGGAACTAAAGTAGGAAATATCAAACGTACCTGTAATAAATAAATCGTGCACACCCTACGTAGCGAAACACGAATGATTTTGTATTAATGCTAATGACACGACAGTGATTGTAATAATATTTAACATTTCTATTTCATTTGTATACCTGTATCATAATATATGCAGATTAATTGCACGATCGCGTAACAGTACACGCGACAAGAGTAACGTTTGTGTAATTAAAACGGAATTTAATTTCAATTGAAAACCAAGCCAGAAGAGATGCAGCACTTGAAAATACTCGGTATTAGTTATCAGCGCGGAAACGCGAATAAGATGAGCATAATTATCTTGGAGTGAATAGCTAAGAAACACCATGGAAAATAAGAGCGCTCTCGTTCTTTGATATTAATGAGCGTTTGCAATGAAGTCGTCTAATTTGAGAGACGATCTATCATCGCGGCAATTTCTGCCAATTATTCCATCGAATGAAGCCCTTTCACCCTTTGAAGCTGACACAGACCAACGAACGGAAAACATTCGAAATTCACGATAAATTAATATAAAAATAAATTTGTGTATTTTCTGGGAATACGTTCGTTACATTGGAGCTAATGAGCAATTTGAAAACTTTATGAATTTTTTGTTTGGAGCAGTAAACATCAAGTAGCATGGAGGAAATAAGCAAAAGGGCCTCCCAGTTCATTGGACATCGACGAACAAGAAGAAATCGTAAAGATTCAGCCGGATCGTTAGAGTGTTAACGAGGATAAATCTCGCAAGCTTGCGACGGAATACCGTCGGACCCTTGCATCCGGCCGGCAAAAAGGGCCAAGCATTCCGGCTCGGTTTCCTGCATTCCAGCACGCTTGCATTTCACGCTGTCCATGTAAATCTCCGCGCGGTACGTTCTTATCTTCGCGCGGATATAAAGCCGGCCCTAGTTCCGAGCCTCTTTTACGGTGTTAAGGTGACAAAGGGGGGAAAAAGCTCTGGCTAGCAGGAAGGGTATAAGGACGTCCAAAGCGCGCCATTTATTCCCTGGCTACCGCTCAGCAAGTGGCTGCAACTCGCATACGCACATACATAAAACCACCCTGTTACTACCTTTTGCCTTTTCCACCGGCAGTTTTCATACATGCTGGCAATCTACGGCAATGTGTCGCAGTGCTGAGGCTACGCGAAAATCCCATAGAAGCGTGTAACACATTGCCGCTGAAGCTGTTTCGAAAACGAGCGAAAGAGAGGAGGGAGAATTCAGATTAAGTGGAATAAATCAATAGCAACCGCGCCATCGGATACTAAAGCGGCTGCATAGGATAGGAGTTCGAGAATTTTATTTCTACTTTCCTCTGCTAATATTTATTCAATTATCTTAACACCCTCCTGCGTCTCTTACAGGTGGAAGAAAATCCCGAAGCGAGCAACAGAGAATTATTATTAGCCCGACGGCTCGCTGATGTCGCCGTGAATGTGAAGGCAGAGCCATGCAATTTGCACTTGCTACCGTCAACGCGGACTGCGCTCTACAGCCGCTTTATTAAACTCGCGGAAACTGTTTCGCTTAAAATTACATCCGGATTAGGCGAAGCTAAGTGCTGGCTGGCCGGGATCAGAATGCATACGCCCGGTCGCGCTACTTGCTTGCTGTCGACACGAGCGCAACGATTTTGTTACCCGTTTAATTATATCTCTTTGCTGTTAAATTCGCGTGCTACTTTTCGGCGGAAAAAATCGAGTATCTGATTATTTATTTCCCAAAGTATCGATCAACATCGGAGTCACAGCTGCAGACGGTTTAATTTAATGATACAATGAAAGGAATAAATAGAAACCGGACTTTGAATATTAGCAGTTAGAAGGCGGATGTTCGATTCTTTAAAAATAAAAAGTAGATAATATGTCTAAAAAGTTGAAAGCATAGAATGCTAGATACTCCACGAATCAGTGTAATATCTTGAATGTCCTCGGAATGATATATGGCCGAAGACTCGATATGACGACCGGGCGATTATTTACAGCCAATCAGAGGTAGAAACCTATCTGACGGGCAGACGCATAAACGCTCGCAGATCGCATCGAATGTCACGAATGATAATCGAACTGACGAAGGATGATTGGTACATATAGGGAATGACGTTTAACTTCGCTAGAGGGAAACTGTATATTATCTCCGATAAAAGAAACTTCCCCTAAACGTTATCCCTAGCTCACCATTTTATTCGATAACAGATTAATCTTCTCTCAAAAATTAAACAAATTTCTATCTATAAAAATTTGTCGATTTCAGAAATCAGATTCGAAGAGAAATTTGCATGATAAATGCTATAAAGTGTATGTGGAATACCTCTCGGGTTAATTCATTTCAAGACGGTTGGTGTACCTTGAGAATTGAAACATTAGCACAGACAATGGATGCTGGATATTATTGCTTTGTCTGGACCAGTCCTAAACTCAGTATTTACGATGCATAGTTTGGGTACTCATAACTGCTGGTGTTATGTAAATGTATTTCCTCAACGCCTTGCATATGGAGTGTACATCGTGATACCATTGTTAAGGACATTCTATGTATAATACAATTATATGCAACAATTCTACATTCGTCAAAATTTGTCATAATCTTTAAAAACTGACCACACCGATCATTAGTATAAATTGACCTAACGCAAAAGTACAAGCCTTCGATAGGATTCAAGGTTAATTTCGGAAATTTTAGATAACCAGCGACACGGTTACCTGGAAATAAAGCGGAAAAAAGCGCAGCTGCTTTTTTCGACGTTATCAACGATGGAATTAACGTGTATAGCGTGTACCTGGGTTCCGAGTACACACGGCTCGTACCGGGATGCGTTAATATCGTTAATTAAAACCGCTAACCCAGCGTCGTTAGTCGCGTGTCAGCCGCGATAACTTCGAGACGACACGTAGAACAGTCCGCTACTAAAACCAAGAGAGCAAACGAGGCGAATTTTTATTTAAAAAAGAAGAACAAAAATCATAATCGCTTTGCCAACGTTATCAGAAAAGTTGTTTCTACGCGTAAACGTCGCTTTTACTGGATTTTGAACGTGAAACCGTGAGTTCGGTTTCCAATTACGACGAATTTATGCAAAACACTCCTGGCTAACTACTTTCGTTTAACATTTAAACAACGAAACATACGCGTCTATTTAAGCTGATTTATAAAAAAAAAAGAAAGAACAGAAGGATTTGGGTTATCACCTTCTATTATTCCGTTTTGATAATCAATCATAATTTGACTCAAAATGTTGGCTCACCATATGATTTTCCTAAGCGCAAAAGCTTGTTGGTGTAACAATAACATGATTTATCCCGATAATACGTAGGATCAAGAGCAAATACCTAGAATTTACTTTCATTTTCTAGTCGCTTGGAATGAACATTCCGTTCGTACAGTGCGACGAAATTCATTGTCAATTCGATGGCCTAACAATATTTATTTAGCCTGTATCGATTTCGTTGGCATGATATTGGTTTCCCGTACCATGCTTGTATTTCCTCTTTTTTGTCCGTGTCCTCTCTCTTCACTTTTTTTTTTGTTTTTCACTGGATAAACTCACCCCTCGTTTTCGAACCTTTCGATTGTTGATTCTTTCTCGTTGGATTAAAAATCGCTCTACCTTCGAGACAAACTAATTTACAAACGCTAGAGGAAAAAAAAACGTGTCTAATAAAAAGAAAAGAAAGAACACGATTTTCATGTTATCGAATGAAAGGATGAGAACTGTTTCCGCGTGCACAATGCTATTTCCGGCAGAATGATGGATTCAATTTTCGATAGAGATTCAGTTGATTGGAGAGATACAATATTATGTTCCGGAACCGATACCATACAAAAAGAGCTGGCGAGTAGTCCAGCAACTGGTTCTCCTTCTGTCAGCCAATTTTGATTTTCGTGTTCACTGTTCGTTGCGTTCTATTAACGTATCAAAATATTTATTCATTATAATTTCAAAAATTAGCTTCCAGCCAATTCTTTTCTGCATTAAATTATTCCCTTTTTCCGGATGGAATTGAAATCTGAATCGAATCGAATTTCATTTCATTTCATTTCATTTCATGTCATTTCATTAAATTTAACGTAAATTTTATATTCAACATTTTCGAAGTCTGGTGTTCTGTTCATGACTTCAGTAACAAACTGAACGTGTCTAAATACAGTTATAACCGTATTTCGCTCTCTATTAGTGTAAATGTGTTAATGATTAACTCACCTCACGATACATCGCTTCGAAGTGGACGAGCGTGTGTGTTACAACGCTCGATATCTCGTGAAAACACCTGAAACAAAAAAAGAATCGAATTAATAGAGTTTACAACTAAATATGCATGGGAATCGATAACACGCTGATTGGCACGAACTGTTCGAGTTCACCGTGTAATTACGAGGTTCGTTTACGCAAGACCGTTTTTCCGCTCTGCATAATTAATCATTTGCACGAACGATATCCTGTTTTTACTCGATACTCGATACACGGATTCCTACATGAATTTTTATCGTCTGTTTTCCATTTCATTTAGTGCCCAAACGACGAATATGAATCAATGGTTAATATAGTAAAATTTAAAAAAATTAAAAATTCGAGAGAATTTTCGAAATTTCATATTTCACTTCCTCGCTACGCTTTCCACATATTCTTCTTTCATTTTTATTAAAAAATAATGCGTTTTATTTGTTACTCCATATTACCATAGGTTCACAATTTTATTTGACTCAATTTAGAACTTAATTGGGACAGATTTTTGTAGGATATGAAAATTTTAGATGGACAGCAGGAATTATTAGAATTTATATTTTCAGTGTACATGGATTTATTATAAAGTCTTCTTAATGACTTTTATATTGAATTTCAGTGTTTATGCATATTTACGATACGCAAAGAAACGATTCGCTATGAAAAGACTTTATTTTGTTCTCCTATGATATCTATGATACAAAACCGTAATATGAACTACTATGCGATTCACAAACAAAGCTCTTTTAACGTTTTTCCTTTGGTACAATCCGTATTTTCCGTTGCCTTTGAGAAACTTTCTTCTCTTTTTCCGTAAAGATAAAAGAATAATGTTAGAGCTGAATAAAGAATTGAAGAAGTATATATTATGTTTCATGAATTTTTAAATAAGCAAGAGAAATCTTTCGATTTCACACAGTTTCATCGTTTTAACGTAGACGTACCAGATTTACTTTGAAAGCTACTATGTTTTATATTTTATACTTTCACTGATACACTTCAAAAAGCTTGCAAATTTCGTATCAACGTTTCAACCGTAGCGTTTGAGAGGTCGGTATTTCTGCCGGTCCGAAAAAGGAAAAGGTACAAAGTAGAACAGACAACGTAGCAGCAGTAAGGGAATTTTTAAAGAGGAAGTATGTCTGTGATGTTCAGAAATTAGGTTTCTGGGAACGCGTGAGTACGCTAAAATGCACGGCTGGTGTGCGCATTCGTTTGGGGCTGTACTTTCTTAAGGGTGAACAGCAGAAGGGAATTTTAAGAAAGAGCATTACCGAGTAGAGTATACTTAGCTAGAGAAAATTTAAGCAAGCAAAAGAACATGAACATTATGTTGTATCCCTTTCCATTACACCTTTACATGTTTATTAAATTCCAGGCATTTCTTAAAATACTCTTCGCTACTCTTCGAAATTTCAATATTCACAATTCCCCTTTGGAATTTATTTAACATTAAAGTTCGATTCACTGAACTTTCAATCGTTAATATATCAACGAGTGCTTCGAAGATATAAATTAATATATAGATATAAGATTATAAGCTGATCGCGAGTTATTTCAATGTTTTCTTGCCTGTGGCGTTGCATCTCGTTTGGAATACTTTCAGGCAAAAGGAAAAAAACATAAAAAGCAACTCAAACTGACTCTCTGTTAGACGATCTATCGTTTCGTGGTTTGGTTCGATGGTCAAGAATGCTTCGTATTTATATACAAGGGAAACATTCTTCGCGAGCATCCACCTGGACTGGAACAATGTTTTCCTTCCTATAAAATATAACAAAAGCTACCTTTGGTATATGTAGATTATTACGACCTCGTTGTTGAGTTACCAAATGTGCCTGAAGCAAAATATATAAAAACAATTTAAATAACTCTCGGAAAATAGCAAACCAGTCTTTGACATAACATTTTCATTATTAGAAAATCTAGGTTCTAGTTTTGTTGATTTGTTCCAGAGCCTAAGTATCGTGGTATTTATAGGGAAGCATAGTGTGAAAAGTAAATTTCGAATTATTCTAAAATGAACAAAGATAAAAAGTGTGCCTACTATAAATTTTCATCTAGTTCGAATAGGTAGTTGAAATGCAGAGGGTTGAACTTTCCTACGTTTTGTCATAGGATCTAAAAAGTATTGATCAGCAGCGCCTCAGCTTTTATCTGATTATGATTCTCAATGGCATAGAGGTGATCAATCAGGGAATTAGTTTCTCTGGTCGAGGAGTTCGTGACAAATTTTCCACTCTCAATATTCCCCTTTCCCTAAATCACGATATCCTTATCAAATCTTGGAGACAATAGCTTTTATAATATGGAAAGGACTTTGCAAAAGGTCACTGTAGAAACTTTCGCGTTACACATTAATCGCTTCGTTTCGGTATTTTAACGATGTCAGATAAAAATCTCACGATACCTACAAATAATACAAATTCAATGAACAGAAACAATAAAACGAAGTTTGCATACGCATTTGTTTCACTTAATTAGTGTTTCAGCAATTTTTATTGTGTACTTATCGTTAGTTAATATATTTCTCTTTGACAGAATATTTACAATACTCGAACATAAATTATTTCAATTTATTCCTATAATATAAGTTAATTTAGCCCATTCTGTTCGAACGAGAAATAATAACATTTCCCGTAATTACAAAAATATACGGTAATTGTCTTTTGTGACATAATCAACGGGAGAAGAGTATGGTCCTCGCACAAGTTATGAAATTAAGGACTACGTAGAGAACGAAACGTAATAAATTGCGTTTAATTTCAGTTACAGCAATGAATTCTTCTTTGAAACTTCCCAAATGCAACCTACCTGAGGTACAAGCAACTAACAATAAATTACCAGCAATAAAAGAAGAATTATACGGTTAAACTTTTTCGATAATGCTCGCACGATAGACCTCGAGTCTCGTGTTTAATCGCAGCGTTGAATCGTCACCGGAAACGGTGCACTCGGACCACGGACGATTTATATTCCAATTCGGTGGAGGCTGAAAAATTTCGGAACGAGTTATACTGTGCGATCGCGACGCATCCAGGGTCATACGTCTTCTGACGTAGCCGAGGGTAGGCAACTCGAACTACCCTCTTGCTACACGAGAAGACATATAGACGTGTCGTGTAGATGGGCAGCTTGCCAACGGCCTATAACGCTGATGCGAAACCGAAAAAGAACCATGCATCATCGGTGACTCGATTGTAATGCGTGAGTGGACGATCTTTGACTTCTCGATCGTCGATATCAACGTTCTTTCAAATCGAAAGGAAAATATTAGAAATGCTAATGTTAACGCTAATTTAATACCGCTCTTGGATCAGCCACCTCCCCGGTAGGAACACCGCGACCTCAAACACTCATACTCAACGCCTCCGTTCAATTACGATCGCAGCATCGTAAGAAAAGCGTAGACTGACGATTGTGAAAATGATGTCAACGAGTTCAGATCCAGGAGCACACGGGGGTGTCGTTAAAAAGGACAATGAAAAATAAAAGCGAGGTGAACGAACGACTTTCCATTATCGATCGTGCCGGCAACAAGAGTGCACGAGAGGACTAGGACTGGGTTAGGGAAGTTTCCCGCACAGTTAACTCTCGTAAATTATGCGAATGTAAATGAGAAGGGGGGAAAAAACGAATGATATCGAGTCAGGTTCAACCACCCCGCTATAATTTCATTGTCTGTTCGTGGCAATAATTTGTTGCCTGATGAGGAATCAGAGGTCGAGCAAAGAAAATTGTTACAGTCAAAATATATTAGAAAACAAAAATGGCATTATTTTTAGGATGACGTGATATAATAAAAGATGAACGAATGTGCAAATTCGATGGCGATCGCTGGCGCCAGGTGGTCCATGGAGACGTACAATTCTCATGAACGAGGACGCAACCACCCTGGGCTAAAGAGATATGGCGGGAAAGGTGGTTGCAGCTGTGGCTGCCCCGACTGTCGAGTGGATCATTCGTTCTTCTCTGGTGTAATAACGAGCACGAAGAGGAAAGCGGGTCACGATGCCCTTAGAAGTTAAACGTAACGACCGCTGTACTGATGAATTACGCGCTCGGATTAATTCCACGAACAATCGACGTATTTTGTAAAGAATGGCCAGCAGAAGTTGAATGGTGAATAAGACGTAACGAAGGTGCGAAGTGGAATCAGTTTGAGCTTTACTACCTAGACTTAGAAATGAGGATGCTCCAAGAGATTGCAACTACTAGAGTGCAACAGGAATTGTGGTCTCTCCTTGGGTTAACCCTTGAACCATGGATCGGTCGTGATGCAAACTTGTGAAACGTTCATTTGAAACTATTCTAATTTTAGTAATATGTACTCCGGATTATTCGGAGATTAATAACAATTAATATGAAAGAAAAAATGAATTTGTGTTAAACATTAGATTCCTAAAAGAAATCGGTATGAAGAGCGTTCAAGGTGGGTACACTGCTATGTTAAATAAAAAACGAACGATCCCGGAGTTTGAAGGAAAGTTTCCCCGTTACAGGTTTGTAATATTGTTTTAAAATTGAAAATTAAATCTTAATTCCTCCTCTTGGAATCAACTTATTCCCGCATCGGGAACTCGGTGAACAGCCCCAGGTACGAAAGAAACAATTTCACAACTCCGAACTTTGGCGTTCGTTCCTCACCGGATTTTCTCTCTTTCGCTTTTAATTTTTCCGCTCGGATTTCGTCGGGCGCAACACAGTTGCTTCGCAATTTTTCTTTCCCAAACTTTCCGTCGTAACCAGAAGAACAAAGCTTGTTCGGTGTCTGAAACGCAACCCTTGTAAACAGCACGTTCATCGAAACTTCGTTGTATATCGTTTCTGTATAATCTTCATTTACAATTACAAATATATTTGTACGTTAACGTTTCCTAATTATGATGGTGTACAGCATAAGTGTTTCTCATAAGTCGACACTTCGTAAACAGGTATGTAAAGGTATAAACTCGTTCTATTTAGTCGTGACACATAACATTTGTTGTAAAAACCGTAAGCGAATGGTGTAGGGACAGAAAGCAAGGTTCTTACGGTGGCTCGTAA